TGTGACTTGGTCACCAGGATTTGGTTATAAAGCATTCTGTAGGTCTCAGGACAGCTTTGGCATCCCAAATGGCCAGGAAGCCTGTCTGAGATGGGGGATCCTGGCACCAAGCCAGACCCTGCCTGAGGCTGCCCCTCTTACAATTTTATCATGCTACCTACCTTTGGACCAGCTTGAATTTACATTTGAGTGAATGGGGCCTACAGCCACACTGACTCAAGTTAACTCTGATAAGTAAGTACTGGTCCTGTTAAATGGGGCCAGCTTATGCTTGATGGTAATCTGCTAAAAGGAAAGCTAAGCTCGTTAAATCGCCTAGAATCTGTTTTCAAGAGTTTATATAAAGTATGACATATTTCTAACTTAAACAATTATTTCAATAAACCATTCTCCTTTATGATTAATTCTCCTTAATCTGGATTTTTTTCTTTGGGAATTCACACAGACAGTCATCAGATGTGCTGTTTCCAAATATATGTTAATTCCCCCTTCCCTGATTCCCCCCACTCAGTCATGCTGGACAGGCTATCCATGTCAATGGTGAGAATAGCTCACCAATTCCATTTGCTACTTGAAGATCAAGTGAAGCACTAAGGTAGGGTAGAGGCGATGAGTTCCTTAAACATGATAAGCATCCTTCTTGCCAGGGGCCAGGGGTCAGAAGGGAAGCACTGGGGAGGGGAGGGACTATCCTGCCCAGGACGGGAGGGAGGGAAACACTCATCCCTGACCAGGATGCCCCTGCCTGCTGCATTTAAGAAGAAATACTTGCCTGCATGTTGGCTGCCCAGGAATGCTTGCTGTGCTTGGAATGGCTGTGACATAATGCATAAAACAGGGTGTTGGAAGTCTGGCCACATATTTGTAAGCAAATAGTTGGTCTTTCTTGGGAGCTTCTATTTTAAGCCAAAGTGATGTTGATCCTGTGACAATGACTTAGCAAAACAACTTATAAAGTGAGTATGTAAATGATCGAAGAAAATGTTGGCATCTGTTTCATACAGATTTTCCCACTCACAGCATCAGGAATGCAAAAAAAAAAAAAAACCCACCGGAATTGTAATGCTAAAACAACAATATCTAAAATAACTGTTCTAATTGTCAACAGATTCTAAATAAACTAGAAAGAGAACGAGGGCTGGAAGAAGCTCAGAAACAACTCTTGCATGTAAAAGTCTTATTTGATGAAAAGAAGAGATGCAAGTGGATGTGAGCACTCTGGGGCCTGACTTAATCTGGCAAAAGTTCTTCAGACGACTTGGGAGCAAAATGGTTACTTGAGCTACTATGTCGTTAGTTTTTAAGTTTGCACATAGGTTCCACACACTGTCTTTTTAAGAGACCAAGGCACATGCACAGCTTTTAGAAAGCATTCCAACCACTGTGCCTGTGTGTATGCTGTGGGAACCTTTCTGTAAATAGAGTTGAAGTGGTTGTTGCAAACAGCCTCCTTGTTTACAGAGAATACAGGGCCAGTGAGCAAGTGTCAGTCTTGTAACTACAGTCTCCACTTAAGCACAATGACATAAGTGGTTTCATTTGAAAACTACAGCTATGTAGCACTTGTGACTACACTGCACCTCTGCAGAAAAGGGACATTGCCAATGATCAAAACAAAATGTGAAATGAGTCATTTGGAAACAAGGTGGGGGTGTTAGGGCAACCTCGAGGATTTGCAGCATTGAAACTTTCCCCAGTAGTTCTTGGAAAAGCTGACCACAGAATTTGGTAGTGTGTACATTTAGCATTTGTGAGTGTGTGTGTGTGTGTGTGTGTGTGTGTGTTTAAACCAAAAACTAACAGTGTTGCAACATTGTTGAAAGGGCTCGTGTTTTTCAGTGGTCACCAACTGCACTCCATCAAACTCACCTCCATTTCACAACTGAGATCTAGAGCAAGGAGAGCAAGTAGACATCATTAAATCCAACAGCATTTTATCCAGAAACTTTGTCCAAACATGTGTTCTCATTTTTTTTCATACTAAATGTCTCTGATAGTGGACATGTTGGCTACTGTATCATTAGTTTACTTCCGCCTAAAAACTGATCAGAATTAATCCTACATTTCTATACTAGTGTCTCCTTGCTTTAGATTTCTGGTGAACCCTGTGGTTATAAATACTTGTGTGTGATTTAAAAAACAACAGCAACAACACATTTTACATTTCATGAAATTGTTGTTCACATTGGAGTATTATATATGAATATATATGAAGGCACATGCACAGCTTTTAGAAAGCATTCCAACCACTGTGCCTGTGTGTATGCTGTGGGAACCTTTCTGTAAATAGAGTTGAAGTGGTTGTTGCAAACAGCCTCCTTGTTTACAGAGAATACAGGGCCAGTGAGCAAGTGTCAGTCTTGTAACTACAGTCTCCACTTAAGCACAATGACATAAGTGGTTTCATTTGAAAACTACAGCTATGTAGCACTTGTGACTACACTGCACCTCTGCAGAAAAGGGACATTGCCAATGATCAAAACAAAATGTGAAATGAGTCATTTGGAAACAAGGTGGGGGTGTTAGGGCAACCTCGAGGATTTGCAGCATTGAAACTTTCCCCAGTAGTTCTTGGAAAAGCTGACCACAGAATTTGGTAGTGTGTACATTTAGCATTTGTGAGTGTGTGTGTGTGTGTGTGTGTGTGTGTGTGTGTTTAAACCAAAAACTAACAGTGTTGCAACATTGTTGAAAGGGCTCGTGTTTTTCAGTGGTCACCAACTGCACTCCATCAAACTCACCTCCATTTCACAACTGAGATCTAGAGCAAGGAGAGCAAGTAGACATCATTAAATCCAACAGCATTTTATCCAGAAACTTTGTCCAAACATGTGTTCTCATTTTTTTTCATACTAAATGTCTCTGATAGTGGACATGTTGGCTACTGTATCATTAGTTTACTTCCGCCTAAAAACTGATCAGAATTAATCCTACATTTCTATACTAGTGTCTCCTTGCTTTAGATTTCTGGTGAACCCTGTGGTTATAAATACTTGTGTGTGATTTAAAAAACAACAGCAACAACACATTTTACATTTCATGAAATTGTTGTTCACATTGGAGTATTATATATGAATATATATGAGGCCCAAGGCCTGAAAAATATTAGTATACAACTTGGTATCTTAGTCTTACTATGTACTTTTTGAAAGTATTCCTCACAAGAGAAAGAATTAAAAATACCCACTTTATTCATGCCTTTCTTTTTAAAGAATTCCCTACCCAGTTATATTGTCTTTTTATTGCTGGTTTTCTATTCCTGAATGTTTGCTGCTCATGGCCAATTTTAATACCACTGTGTTTTCCTTCTGTTAAACCAGAAGTAAAAAGTTTGTCAACTTTCACACTTTCCTTGTGGCACCTTTAACCCTTGGTGCTCCAAATCCCTGATGGAGGAAAGAAATTTTTTCAAGTAGCAAATAAAAACATCGATCCTATCTTTAAAATCATTTGCCAACATTGTGTGGTAATGATATCAGCATTTAAATGTGAATTTGTCTTAAATGCACTTCTTCTTGCTCCTCAATATCTGCTTGAGAGGAGACACCTAAACAAACTGATCAGAGAAAATAAGCAGAGAAAAGAAAATATTGCCTCGATAGGTAACTTCCTTCCCAGTCCCATCATTTTTGACCATTGTCTGTCCAATGGACACACCTCAAAAAATACTACCAAATAGCTTACTTACAAGGATAAAGGTGAGAGGTCTGGTCCCCAGCTAAAGCTGCTACAGTTTTGATGCGAAGGCACTCAGAAGAGAACAAAAGGAGAGCTGAGAGCCGAGGGCAGGAGTTGCCCAAAAGACTTCCCCTTCTTTAGGGTACAGAAATGCCAAGAAAATGCAAAGGATCAGCTACAGCTTTATCTAGGTACTTAATAAATGCTACATGAGGGTGTCCCTGTCCAGCTCTCTGGCACAAGAGCTCCGCAAGGAGACTTAGCCTCCTCGTCTGGAGCTGTGCTGCTGAGAACTGTGGGCAAGTCACTTACCTCTTTGTGCCTCAATTTCTGTACAATAATTCTGACCTACCTCACTGAGGTGGCGTGAAGATTCACTGATGTGTGTAGCGTGTTTGTCAATCCTCCAGTGAAAAGCACTATCTAGGTCACATTAGCCAAACACAGTAAATGGCCAAATTAGATGTGTGCTGAAGACAATCAGTCACTGGGTCTATATTAAACAGCAACCAGAGAAATAAATGGCAAACAATTTCTATTTTCAACTTTCTTTGCATATTTTTTTGATGCAAAACCATTTATAAACTTTTTTTTTCCTAACACTAGTCTACGGCAGCATTTAAAAATTAATTCTGTTACCTTTTCTGTATGAGGGATTTAAAGTCTATTTCTTACTGTATACCTGATTGAAGCTGTTCTTGGAGATGAATGTTTTAAATGTCTATATCCAAAAATAAACATTTTGGTGTAGATATGGGCTGTTTTGTCTTTTTCCTTCAAATTTCTAGTTAAAGTAGCTTTTATTCTAAGTGGTTCCATGGAAATCATTTTTTAAAAATAAAGTGTCACTGTGTGCTCTAAGTGAATAAGCACCTTACATATTATGTAGTAAATCTACTCTCCTCAAAGATGCTAAGGACTGATCAATTATATTCCTGGCCTCCATTATCAACCTGGACTTCTTATCGTGAAGACTTCTGGATAATGAACATTCCACCTAGTTTGGCAGATTTGAGCTTTGCCTTGTGGATGTGAAGTATTTCAGCAGAATTCCTTATGGAGCACAAAAATAAAACATTTATAATAATTTGGTTAGATTCAAAACTGGGAGGCAAAGTTAAATACCAACCATATTTCTAATTTTTAAAGGGCCTCCCCCGCCCCCAACTGCAACCCCAGGGTTCAAGGTTTGCAATGAACTGCCTTTTTGTTTTATACAGCCATAGATTTAATTACTTGTACCTAGAATTAATAGAAAAATAACAAACTCAACAAAGCCAAAATTAGTGAGATCTACATTGCTACATGCATACTTCTGGTCAAAATAAATCAAAAGATGATAGAGATAGAAAAATATTTATTAAACTATTTAACAAGTTACATGTATACAGCTTTTAGAAAAGGTAGCATTTTTATAATGAATATATACTTAGACATCTGTTTTACTTTTTTGTTGACTTTTTAGATTGTTACCTTTTATCAAGAACAAGAGGTTTGTAACTCCTGTATACAGTAAACCAGAACATGTTTATTGACCCTGTTACTGCCAAGCATCTCAGAAGAGGGAATTTAACATGGGAGTATTTCAGGCAAATGCCAAAAAAATTCAACAAATTTATAAAATAATTTAAAACATTGATTTCCCTAATTAGTACCTTTTACTTCTTTACTTTTACATTCTCAAAGGGTCATCAAATACTCTAAACTCCTTAAGCTGTGGTAATGCTTCACTTGTCATTAGTATAATTCTAAAATTTGGACGCTGATGCAATTACAGCACATAGTTGGTACCTTTTCTTGAGGCACATTGAGTGTTTTGGCAAACAGTCATAAGGTATCTAAATGCCACATACTTTAAAACTTCAAGCTTTAGGGAGTCACTGATTTCACCCATTGCGATCTGTCTTTTCTCCAAGAACATCACTCCCCAGGAGATCCAAGTTCCTCGAGTTGTTTTCTCTGTGTTGTTTCTAGTTCTTCTAGTCTTTTGCGAAGTAGAGAGAGTTCCCTTTGATGCTGTTCCTCCTTAAAAACGCAGAAGAGAAACACTGCTACCTTACCTTACCTCAGGAAAGGTAGCAGAAAAATAGCTGTCAGACAGCAGCCTCAGTACCTTTTATTCAGGCATGCAACATCTGGCAGAAGATGACCATTTTAGCAGCTGAAGAACCCAGCAGCAGGGGCTAGACTAGTAACTAGTCCCTGCTTTTCTCCTGCCTCAGGCTCTAGCCTTAAGCAAAACCCAAAGTCTGTTCTTCTCTAGGTATAAAATTCGCCAGGGAGTGAATCAGAAAATACTAATGTCGGGCCCAGGTGTATGGCACTTACATGGCAACTTTCTAACAAGGCTGGAGTTTAATAGCAGTTTATTATAAACAAAGCACTTGGTCTGAGAATCAATTCAGTGACTAAAATTTTGGTGCTTAAAATATCAGTATGTATTTACTTGTTAACAGTTCATCTTCTGAAAATCATCCAATGATTTTGATTCCTTCAATATCTCAAAGACCTGATGATACAGCAGAACGAGCCTAGGTTTTTAGATCAGACAGATTTAGGTTGACACTCAACTCAGTCACTTATTTATTTGCCACAACCTTAGGCAAGTCACTTCACCTCTTCCAATTACCTCATCTGTAAACTGGGTCTACTACCTTCCCTCAGAGCATTTTTAATTAAGATTGAATATCATATGGAAAGCGCATGGTACAGTACATTCATCAATGCCCGGCAGTACTCAGTAGTGCATATGAGTGAGCTACAAACTCAGATTCATCGCTCAAGTTTTTGTGTTTGACCTGCCCGTAGGTGATCTCATGCCTGGTACCATCATTCCTGGATAGGACAGATTCAAATCCATTTTGCTTCTCAGCAAATTTCTCTGATAAAAAAAAATTTGAGTTTTTAACTCTAAAAGGTAGAAACTTAGAGAAATGTCTGCCTAACTTTTTTATTCCCTAAAATAAATGCTCATACCTGCATATGAGGAGGAAAGGATAGTTCCATGCCTGGAATCATGGCTGATGACTGAAAGCTAACAGGATTGACAGATGCTGTTGGAGGTATATTAGGAACCAAAATTAAACTTCGAAATTCATTATGTCTTCTCTGTATGTCCCTTAGTCTTTTTTGAAGCCTTGTATATTCATCAAATGGAACATTTTGTCTTAAAAAGAAAAAAAAAAGTGTTTCTGCTCTTTACTGAAAAACAGTACGATTCATTGAATATAATTTTTAATTGGAAGAGGATCTCTAAATTAGATTTATCTGTATATAATATATACACAAAATATTTGTTTATCCAGAAATATACAGAAACATGACATTATAGCTCATAGGTATTATTTTACCATTAATCAAAGATTAAAAATCTTTTGATACTTTTATTTTCTTTTCCACTCTACTTCCACAGCCCATGAACCCTGAAACTAAAAGGAGACTCCTTAGACCAAAAGGGTACTATCTTATTTTACAGAAAGAATCAAATAGGAATAGAGAAAATACTAGGTTGACTTGTATGAAGCTGCCATTTTTGTAGGTAAACTATGGTTAAATATAGGGAATTTCATATTGTTCAAGCTAATTTTTAAAAATATAGCTAATGACAAAGGTGAAACTATCCAACTTTAGGGAAAAATTACATGGATAAAAAAGCTAATTTTTTAGGCCTTTCTAGATCTTTTTTTGGACATGAATTTCCTGACCATCAATCATACCAGTATGTTTCAAAACCACTTGAAATTCTAGATGATCTGTGCCATAGCTGCCTAATCTTGAACTGATTATACTTAAAAATTAATCATTATGGAAGAAAAAGTTGAATTTTTTTGTAAAATGAAGTTGGTGGTTTCTTACTTTGAAACAGAATATTGTAAAGTTGGCATTAATTTCACAGCCTAGAAACCTCTTAGGTGTTCTAAAAAAACAACTGTTCATATTTTGGCAACAATTATACCCAGAAAACCAGTGTACGTTATAAAACATCACTGGTTGATATTATAAGCAATTTCCATTAGAGAAGTCTGATGCTGTCTAAATGCTGAAGGCTACCTGAATTTGGAAAGTATTTTTATTAACTGGAATCAAATGGGTCATACAATGCTACTACCAGTAACTTAATTTGGTAAATCTTCTCTGCTCAGAAATGCTAATGATGCATATCATTAGCTGTGGTTGGATATAAATGCAAAACCAGAAGCTAGAGCCAATAATATTTTGCCACACCAAGAAGTCAAAAACTGGTCTTTGATTCAAAGATTTAGCTAGCCACATTTTTAGAACTATGCAGTTGTTTTAACCATCTTGTTCAGCAGCAAGAACTTATACCTGTCAGTACCAACTACAACACAAATGCCTGGCATGTGTTAGAGCTAAGTTTTAGTTTGAAGGAACATTTAGCCAGAAAAAAAACATTACAAGGATCATGAATTGTAAGTATAATGAATAGTTTTGGAATTCTTTTAAATGTATATTTTAAAAGAAAACAAAGTGTGTTATACTATCAAAGTTCTATAGTATCAAATTAAACACATGGGATATGTATACATACAAATGCATTACCTATGTAACACCTGATTTTCTGTTTCCAGTTCTTCTCTCTTTGCCTCCAAGACTTCTACTTTCTCCTGCAGTCTCTTCAATTTGTTTTCATGAAGAGATTTTCTCTAGAAAAAGAAACAATATGAACAAGTATGTTAACACATGATCTCCTAATTGAACAAAACTATACAGTGAATATTTTACCCACCAAAAAAGTTTTATTTAAAGATGATGAGTATTTTCACTGAATACTGGGAACAAAGATCACATGAGACTTATTGAAAACTGCAAAGATAAACTAATCACAAATCTACCTCATATTCTTAATGTGAGGATAAAACTATTACAAATAAAACTATTACAATCCCAAATTGAAAAACTGGTATGACTAACTAAACTGCTGCAAACAAAAAACCTAAAAAGGGAAGGAGTCAAATTTTACGAATGAGTTTGCCTGTCACCAGAAAAGGAATCATGAGTTCTTCATTTTCCTGTAAGATATCATGTGCTTAAAAGAATTAAAAATTAAAAGCATGTTTGCAATGATAAATTGTTCCCAAAGCAGTAAAGGATCAGAAGGCTGACATAGTTTATGGATGTATTTCAGTTTAAAAGTTTGCCTTCCTAAACATTAAAAAAGAAAAAATTTAAACTTTACAAAGAGAAAATTTTCTAATAATATGGAAAAAAAATCCATGTATCATAAAAAAGAAGTATATGAAAAAAGGTTTTTCTCAGTTTTGTTTTATAGAGAAACTACTATAAATGTTGGGATTTCATTTAGTAGCTACAAACCATTTAGGTTATCTTTGTACTTAGGTTAGCATAACAGGCTAAAAATGCACAGAACATAAATGGAAAGCAAAATGTAAAATCGTAAAGCACATGCCAGCACTGTCACCTCACAGGTCAAGAGCACTGCCGCACCAGAAGTGCCTCTACCCTTCCTCCTTTCAGTCTCTACCCCTTCTGCCCTCTGAAAAGGTAACATACTTCCAAAGCTATGTTTTAGTTTTGTCTATTTTTGAACTTAACATGAATGGAATCACAGTATACACCCTTCTGGGGGGTTTTCCCCAATATTGTGCGATTTATTGTTATTGCTTATGAGCGTAGTCCACTCACTGTCACATTCCACTTAGGAATATTACATAGTTAATTTTATTTCCCTAGTCTGTTATTCAGGGTCATCTCGGTATTTCTGCTTGGGAAGTAACACTGCTGTGAACATTCCTTCTCATGCTTCCCGGTGCTTCCCATCCTCCACATCCCAGAAGGCTGCCTCCTGCCTCTCCCCTTCTAACCCTGGAAAAGGACCCACACTCTTCTGTCCTTGATCACCCAAGTATGTATATACATATTTATGGGTAATTTAGGACTCTGTCCACCTACCCATATCAAAGAAAAGAAATCACAGTGTATATACTTTTCTGTATCTGGACTTTTTTAATCGTTGTGTAACATGTTATCTGTATGACTTAAGCCATGTTACTACTGCCTGATACAGTTCTTTTCCACTGTTATGTTGTCATCCATTTTACAAATATACCACATTTTATCCATTCTCCCATTGACAGAAATTTGAATTATTTCCATTTTGACGCTATTATGAACATTTCTATTTTCTATGAACATTCCTGAACATGTTTTTGATGGATAAATGTACTCATTTCTCTTGAGTATATATCCAAAACCGAGTCACAAGAGTATACATGTTTCAGCTTTAGTAAATACTAGCAGTTTTCTACTAATTATATGCCAACCAACATTATATAATAGTTCCAATTGCTCTTCCTTCTTGTCAACACTTGGTATAGTCAGTCTTTTAAATTTTATTTATTCTGTTTAAGTAGAACAGCAGTATGTCACTAGCTTTAATCTTGATTTTCCTCATATCTAATGAGGGTGAATACCTTTTTCTTATGCATATTAGCCACCTGGATATTCCTTTCTGTGAAGTGTGAAGTGCCTGTCCTGTTTAAAAAATTTTTTTGAGTAATCTGTTCTTATTGATTTATAGGAATTCTTTAAATATTCAGAATATGAATCCTCGGTCAGATAAATGTATTGAAGATTGACCTCCCATTGTGTGGTAAAATTTTCTTTCTCTTAAGAGTTGTCATTTAATAAAAAGAAGTCCTTAATTTTAATAAAATCCAAATTATCAAGCATATCTCTTATAGTTGGTGTATTTTATGTCCTATTTAAGACATTTTTACTTATCTCAAGATTTTGAGATTTTTCTCCCCAAGTTTTCCACTAGCAGCTTTATTTTATTTTTTTACATTTCAAATTTGGCTCTGTGGCCCATTTTATCTAATGAAATTGGGTTAAAGATAACCAAATGACTCAGCACTCTTTATTAAAAGGACTACCCTTTTCCATTGAAATGCAGTAGTACTTTGTAGTAAATCAGGTGTTCACATACTTGTAGGTCTACTTCTGGACACTATTCTGTTCCATTTGTCTATTTCTTTATTCTTATACCAATACCACAATTTTAATTACTATAGTTTATAATAAGTCTTGCTATCTACTAGTGGAACCCCTTCAGCATTGTTGTTCTTTAAGACTGCCTTGATTATTCTAGTCTTTTGTACTTCGTATGAATTTTGGAATCTACTTTCTAATTTCCAAAAATAAAACTGCCGAGATTTTGATCAAGATTGAATTCAATCTATGAATCAATTTGGGAAGACCTGACATCTTAATAATATTGAGTCTTCCACAGTATAGTTTGTCCTCAACGTGTTAATTTTTCTTAGCAGTATTCAGTTTGCAGTGTAGAGGCCTTCCATATCTTTCATTAGATGTGTTCCAATTTTATGTTTTTCTATGCTAATGTAAATGATATTTTAAGTATTTAATTTTCTAATTGTGTGTTAAAAGAAAAATAACTGATCAGAGAAATGCCAATCAAAACCACAATGAAATATCACCTTACAACTGTTAGGATGACTATTATAGAAAAGACAAGAAGTAACAAGTGTTGGTGAGGATGTGAAGAAAAAAGAACCCTTGTGCACTGTTGGTGAATGTACATTAGTGCAGCCATGATGGAAAACAGTATGGAGATTCCTCAAAAAAGTAAAAATAGAACCACCATATGATTCAGCAAATCCACTTGTGGGTATTTATCCAAAGGAAATGAACATCCTAACTCAAAAAGATATACGCACCCCATGTTCACTGCAGCATCTTTTACAATAGCAAGGCATGGAAGCAACCCGAATGCCCATCAATGGATGAGTGGATAAAGACAATGTGATACATGTACACAAGGGAATATAATTCAGCCATAAAAAAAGAAGGAAATCTTGACATTTGCAACAACGTGGATGGACCCTGAGGGCACTATGCTAAGTGAAATAACCAGACAGAGAAAGAAAAATACCATTATGACCTCTTTGAATGTAGAATCTAGAACAAAACAAAGCAATGAGCCCATAGACACAGAACAGATTGGTGACTGCCAGAGGCAGGGGGTAGGGAGCCAAAAGATACACAATTCTAGTTATAAAATAAATAACCCTAGGGATGCTATAGTGACTATAGTTAATAATACTGTACTGAATGTTTGAAAGTTGCTAAGAGAGTCAATCTTAAAAGTTCTCATCATGAGAAAAAAATTTTATAACTGTATGGTGATGGGTATCAACCAGACCTGTGACCATTTTGTAATTTATACAAATATTCAATCATTACGTTTTACACCTCAAACTAACATTGTATGTCAATATCTCAAAGAAAAAAGACTGCTGAACCCCATAAGAGTTTAAGAGAGCAAGCATAATAAAATGATTCATCTGAGCACTTAAATTTAGTTATTATGCACAGAATTATTAGAAGTACAGTTGACCCATGAAGAGCATGAGCTTGAACTGCATGGGTCCACTTCCATGTGGATTTTTTTCAATAGAAAATTTTAAAATAAAATATAAAATTTAGACATTTGCAATAGTTTGAAAAAACTCACATGAACTACAATAGCCTAAATACTAAGAAAATTAAGTCAGGTATGTCATGAATATAAAATATATGTAGACACTAGTCTATTTTACCATTAATATAAAATGTATAGAAATCTATTATAAAAAGCTAAAATTTATCAAAACTTAAACTTAGACCACACCTGGTGCCACTCACCAGTGAAATGTAAACAAGTGTAAAGATGCAGTATTAAATCATAACTGCATAAAATTAACTAGTACACACTGTACTACTATAAATGATTTCACAGCCACCTCCTGTTGCTCTTGCAGGGAACCCAAGTACTGTAATATCTATGTAAAACGCGGTGTGACGCTCATCATCGCCACCTGAGTGGTTCACCTCTCCAGTAAATTGCATTTCACAGTAAAAAGTGATCTCTCGTGGTTCTCACATGTTTTTCAAACCTTGGTATTTACCCAATGGGACCCACATGAAGTGCTACTAGTGACTTGGAATTGCCCCCAAGAAGCAGAGAAAAGTTATGTCATTAGAAGCAGCAGCTGATAGTTTGTTATGTATGGCAGATTGACGCCTGCAGCTGCAGCTGTCCCCCATTTCAAGATACATGATTCCAGTGTAAGGACCATCTTAAAAAAAAGAAGGAAATTTGTGAAGCCTTGGTTACAGCTCCACTAGCAGGCACAAAAACCTTTTACTTTTTGTCTCATTTAGTTTATTTCATATTGAAAATGCAGCTTTTATGTGGCTGCAGGACTGCTTATAAGAAAGGCATACCTACAGAATCTAGTATGATTTGAGAAAAAGTGAAGTCATTATATGACAATTAAAACAAAAGGTGAAGGATCTTAAAGCTTGAGAATTCAATGCCAGCAAAGGATAGCTGGATAATTTCAGAAAGAGGTTTGGCTTTAAAAATGTCAAGATAATAGGAGAAGCAGCTTCTGCTAATCATGAGGTAGCAGATGAGTTCCCGGATGCCATTAAGAAAATCTTTGTGGAGAAAGGCTATTGTCTGAACAAGTTTTAATGCAAATACAAGTGCCCTATTCTGGAAAAAAAAATTGCCACAATGGACATTTATCAGGAAGGAAATGAGCACCAGGATTTAAAGCAGGAAGGGACAGGATAACTCCAGTGTTTTGTGCACATGCAGTTGAGTTTATGATCAGGA